AGTGTGCCAATTTGTTTACCGTTATTTTCGGTAAACAATCGCTGATCTTCCAAAAAGGGTAATTTTTGGTTACTCGCAGGATCGATCAGTTTGATCCTATGACATATGCTAATTATTGGCGTTTTTTGGATATAAATGCTAACATAAATAAAGAACACACGTTCGAATGGGAAAGGTTAAGGTTTGAAATGAGTTTGAATGTAGAAAGTAAATGGAAAAGGGATTGAGAAGAGTTTAAGTGCAGAAATCTGGTAAAAAGTGCAAGTAAAGTGCAAGAAAAAATAGATGTTTGCAAGCAAGATAAAAAGGCAAAAAATGTAAAGAGAAATGTAAAAGACTTTGATTATAAAATGTGGTGTTTTAAACGTACATTTTCAGTATTCTTTCTCACAAAGCGGGTACTCGAATAGTATTGAAGGACTTGTACAATTAGTTGAACACCCGGAAATCTACATAAACTTCTTATATTTATACTAAAACTAGGTAATCGTCGAGGAGTTGCTTTGCTCTAGGATGAGGACAAGTGTCTTCTGCATATGCTTCGACCTCTATCTTCATGCCACGTTACTTTCCTCAACTGCCAAGCGAACTACTTTTCCCTCCTTTCTTCATATTTAAAATCACATGTTGCTGATACGAGATTTCCTTTTAGTCGAAGGCCCTGAAGCCCTTTCAGTCGAAGGCCGCAAGAACCTTCTGGTCGAAGATTAACTTTAACTCAGACATTTCTCTAAGTATTTTTCCAATCTGTCAAAGTATTTTCAGCTTAGATTTGTTCAATCTATTTTTGACCCATAAGGCCAATTTGTTGGAGGTGTCAAATTTAGGAGCTAACAGGAAGCCCAATAAGACTAAACCTCACATTGGCCCTCCGTCGGTCAGGTTTCTTAAGCGACCATGATCGTGGGATATATGTCACTTCTGCGCTCACACAAAGGACCTATCTGCCACGTGGCCTTCGGGGACATCCTTGCAACATATCAATTAAATACGTTTGCCCCTGGTGCCCGCCAAGACGTGTCCTCGTCGTAGGGAATACCATTAACGTCCCTTTGAATATCCCGGAGTCTTCTTGACCCCAAAAAGACTGTGTTCGTCACCTCCCTGGTATTTCAGGACACCACCCAGGATGGAGACCAAGTGTTGGTCTCCACTACACACATAGGTCCTAGCAGTTTCCGTTTTGGGTCTGCCAAGTCGGTCCAACATGGGGATCTTGACCCAGCACTAGGGACTATAAATACCCATATTTATTAACTCTCCCACTCTCTGCTTGCATTCTACTTTGAATTTTTATTTAACATCGAAGTGTCTTGCAGGTACCCCATACTCCTCAGGCTATCATTTCACCCTGAACGCTGCGCCACATGGCATATGAAGTAAACATCCCATAATCTTTATGGCTCCCCATCAATCGAAGAACATAAGAACGCTCCTTGCGAGCGTGCTCTAACTCCCGTCCAAAGAAATGCCCATATAAAGTCGTCCACGCTCCAGACGACCGCAATGTCCTCGCGAACGCGGCTAAAGCTAACGCTCGATGAGACACGCCCCATTTGGCGCACAAGCTGACCTTAAAGTCATAACTCCTCCACTTAGAAGCAATGACTTGGAGGGCTCCTCTTCTGAACTAGACCCGCACTCGGCCTAAACATCATACAAGATCTAATTCAACTATGCTGCAGGGAAAGCCCAACAAGACTAAACCTTCCCTTGGCCCTCCGTCATGCAGGATTCTTACGTGATCATGCTTGTAGTACATATGTCCCTTTCGCGTTCACACCAAGGACCTATATGCCACGTGGCCTTCGGGGGCATCCTCGACACGTACGAGTTGAAGACGCTTTCCCCTGGTGCCCACCAAGACGCGTCCTCCTCGTAGGGCATACTGCTAACATACCTTCAAATATCCCAGAGTCCTTTTGACCCCGAAAAGATTATGTTCTTCACCTCCCTGGTATTTCAAGACACTTCACCCAGGATGGAGACCAAGTGCTCGTCTATACTACACACATAAGTTCTGGCAGTCTCCATTTTGGGCCTGCCCAATCGGCCCAACATGGAGACCTTGATCCAGCGTTAGAGGCTATAAATATCCTCAGCATTCACTCTCTCACTCTCTGCTTGCACTCTGCTTTAAACTTTACTTTGACATCGAACTATCTTTCAGGTATCCCTTACTCCATATGCCATCATTTCACCCCGAACGCTGTGCTACATGGCTTATAAAGTAAACATCTCATAATCTTTTCGGCTCCCTGCCAGTCGAAGAACATAAGAACCCTCTTTGCGAGGGCGTTCCAACTCCCGTCCAAAGAAATGCGTATATAAAGTTGTCCACGCTCTAGGCAACTGCATTGTCCTCGCGAACGCAGGGCTAAAGCTGGCACTCAACGAGCCACGTCCCATCAAGCGCACGAGCTGACTTTAAAGTCATAACTCCTCCACTTAGGAGCAATGATTTTGGGGACCCATGTTCTGGACTAGACTCGCACTCGATCCAAACATCATACAAGGCTCAATTCAATTATGCTGTAGGGGAAGCCCCACAGTACTAAACATTCCCTTGGCCCTCCGTCAGGTAGGTTCTTTACGCGACCATGATCGTAGGACATATGTCACTTCCGCGCTCACACCAAGGACTTATCTGCCACGCGACCTTTGGGAACATCCTCAACACATACTAGTCGAGGACGCTTGCCCCTGGTGCCCGCCAAGATGCATCCTCCTCGTAGGGCAATACCGCCAACGTCCCTTCGTATATCCCAGAGTCCTATTGACGCCGAAAAGATTGCGTTCGTCACCTCCTTGATATTTCAGGACACTTCACCGAGGATGGAGTTCAAGTGTCGGTCTCTACTACACACATAGGTCCTGGCAGTCTCCATTTTGGACCTGCCCAGACGGCCCAAAATGAGGACTCTGATCCAGCGCTGAGGGCTATAAATACCCTCATTCATTCACTGTCTCACTCTCTACTTACTTTCTACTTTGAACCTTACTTTAACATCGGAGTGTCTTGCAGGTATCCCCTATTCTCTAGGCCATCATTTCACCCTAAACATTGCGCCACGTGGCCTATGTAGTAAACATCCCATAATCTTTTCGGCTCCCTATCCGTCGAAGAACATACGAAGCTCCTCGCGAGCGCGCTCCAATTTTCGTCCAAAGAAATACCTATATAAAGTCGTCCACGCTCCAGACGACATTGTTGTCCTCGCGAACACGGGGCTAAAGCTAACGCTCGACGAGTCACACCTCATCTAACGAACGAGCTGACCTTAAGTCATAACTCATGTTCTAGATTGGATCTGCACTCGGCCCAAATATCATACAAGACCTAATCCAATTATGCTACTGGAGAAGCCCAGCAAGACTAAACCTTTCCTTGGCCCTTCGTCGGCAGGATCCTTACACCACCATGATCGTGGGACATATGTCACTTCCACGCTCACACCAAGGACCTATCTGCCACGCGACCTTTGGAGACATCCTCGACACATATCAGTCGAGAACGCTTGCCCCCTGGTGCCCGTCAAGACGTGTCTTCCTCATAAGGCATACTACCAACGTACCTTCGAATATCTCAGAGTCCTCTTGACCCCAAAAAGACTGTGTACGTCACCTCTCTGGTATTTCAGGACACTCCACCCACAATAGAGACCAAGTGATGGTCTCCACTACACACATAGGTCCTGCAGTCTCCATTTTAGGTCTGCCTAATCGGTCCAACATGGAGACCTTGGTTCAACACTGGAGACTATAAATACCTTCATTCATTCACTCTCTCAATCTTTGCTTGCATTCTGCTTTAAACCTTACTTTGGCATGTTGCGCCACGTGGTCTATGAAGTAAACATCCCACAATCTTTTCGGCTCCCCGTCAGTCGAAGAACATAAGAACGCTCCTCGCGAGCGCGCTCCAACTCTCGTCTAAAAAAAATTCTATATAAAGTCGTCCATGCTTCAGACGACCGCGTTGTCCTCGCAAACGCCCGACGAGCCACGCCTCATCGAGCGCACAAGCTGACCTTAAAGTCATAACTCCTCCACTTAAGAGCAATGACTTGGGAGACTCATGTTCTGAACTGGACTCGCACACGGTCCAAACATCATACAAGGCCCAATCCAATTATGTTGCAGGAAAAGTCCAGCAAGACTAAATCTACCCTAGACCCTCCGTCGGGCAGGATCCTATGCGACCATGATCATAGGACATTCGTCACTTCCACACTCACACCAAAGACCTACTTGCCACGCGGCCTTTGAGGACATCCTCAACATATACCAGTCAAGGACGCTTGCCCCTGGTGCCCGCCAAGACACATCCTCCTAATAGGGCATATTTACCCCAAAAAAACTACATTCGTCACTTCCCTGGTATTTCAGTACACTTCACCTAAGATGGAGACCAAGTGTCGATCTCCACTACATACATAGGTCATGACAATCTCCATTTTAGATCTGCCCAATCAGCCCAACTGAAAATCTTAGTCCAGCATTGAAGGCTATAAATATTTTTATTCATTTACTTTCTATTTGCATTCTACTTTGAACTTTACTTTGACGTCAAAATATCTTTCAGATACTCTTATTTTTGTTTCCATATGAAAGATAGAAGAATTTATTTCTAACGTGCACAATCTTGTGTGTTTTCACTCCAACGTAGGTATGAAAGAGCTTATGTGTTTTCAAGCATTCATTCTAATGCATGCATGAAAAACAAGGGACCGTAAAAAGATCCCCGAAATTTTCTAACGACAAACTAGCTTGTGCTTCACTTTTTGATCGCGAAACATAATGTACCAAACTTCATAAAGAAGGATTACATCAAAAAAACCTGGATGCAACATGGTCTCATCAACACCATTAAAGAAACTACAAATAAGAAACACACAATCTATACAGAGACAATAGTTCACTAAGAGTCAATGTGTTTTATTCACCATGATTACTTCCCACATCCGACATTTATGTCATGGCTAGCATGATCTATAAAATCAGCTCTTTTGAGTCCCATCAGATTTCTACAGCCAAAAAAGAGAGAGAAAATGTTAAACGGAGGAAGAAGCTATACACAAATAACCAAAGAGACCAAAATAAAACTTTAACATCTCTAAATTGCAGCAAAACAAAAGCAATAAATAATTCTAAAATTTTCAATTCTGTATGATTATTGAATCCACGAGAGATATGACAAAACATGAACTTAATGACTATCCTTAGATTAGTTATCTTAAGTGCACAACTGCACATGCAAGAAACAATTTGCAATGGACCCTTTGATTCACAGCAAACTGAAATTATAACCATAACATGTACTAGAAATATTAACATAAATCAACATTTTAAGAGTTAAGAATTTGAAATGCAATCCTTGAAGGGTATATTACTTCATCAAACATGGCATTGAATTGAAGTAAAATCATGGAAAGATTAATGTAGGAGCTAAAATCATCATGTAAATATTTCAGTTGTTTATAGCGTAAAAGAGGTATTAGACTACCAGCCTCATTCTCCAGAAAGAAAAAATAAAGGGTATATAACTTACTAACGCCGAGTCTAACATCCCTTCTTCTTTCCTTTCCTTACCATCCCCTCCCTATTCCTCCATCCTTGTCATTTGTTTCCCTCCCAAATTCTTAGACGCTAATGTAATTAAGAAAAACACTTTTTTGGAAACAACATCTAATGCAATAATAATTACAAAAGATTACATAACATTTTTTTGAAGAGAATGAATTGAACTCGGACCAAAAGTATAACAGTCACAAACAGTGAACGTCAACCACTTGCACTAGACCCCAATAGCTTTTAGAAAATTCCTTAACTAAAAAAACAAAACCCAAGGATAACAACTTGGAGTTTGAAGCAAAAATAAAGGGACGGTGAGAGAGAGCTTATATCATACTAGTGAGTGAAAAGGATCATAATGAACACACTCTTAGTGATTTGCGCAATTCTTTTAAATACAAATCAGTGGCCTTGTGAATTAATTACTTTCCAAAATTCTAAAAAAAAAAGTATTCTGTTTTGTACAATATTATCATTAATTTATTGCTATTATCATTACACCTACCCAAGGATAACAACTTGGAGTTTGAAGCAAAAATAAAGGGAGGGTGAGAGAGAGCTTATATCATACTAGTGAGTGAAAAGGATCATAATGAACACACTCTTAGTGATTTGCGCAATTCTTTTAAATACAAATCAGTGGCCTTGTGAATTAATTACTTTCCAAAATTCTAAAAAAAAAAAAGTATTCTGTTTTGTACAATATTATCATTAATTTATTGCTATTATCATTACACCTGCCCTGGTATTCCAATTCCCTTTCTAGTTTCACTCTATTATTAGAGGACATTTCAACTCCTTTGAAAATTGGGAATTGGGATAGATTCTGAGTTTCACCGAAGGCAAGTCCTAATCCACCTATAGAAGAGTGCGTTATTATCTAGGTAATGTCTAAACAACAAATCCATCTCCGTGAAAGTGAAACAACTATGGATTCTAGAATCACGTGATACAACAACAACATTGAAGCCTTATTCCACTAAGAGAGGTCAACTACATAGATCAAATTTCATCATAAATAGAAATCACACAATGTGTTAATCTCCAAGACCATGTGTTAATCTCCAGAATCACGCAATGACGTGCAAAATAGAAATATGACTCAATAAGCGTAAATATGTTTCAGTTCACCCCTTGGTAAAAGCCGAAAATTTCAAAGTGATTAATCAGCAATAACAACTAAGTCTTATCTCACTAAGTGAGACAGTGTCCCACTAAATGGCACTGACTATATGAATAACAACAAATAATATTCCATCATATAAAAGTTTTAAAGCATTGGAAGCTACAAAACAAATTGCCAAATAGCTAAACATCATCCTGAGCTCTAATGCATGAAACATGAGTAAATAATTGTATTAACATTAAGATATAATTCTTATTAAGCTGCACACAATACAACATCAAATAGCTCCAAAACTAAAAAGGAAAATGCTAAAGAGTCCTATTAGATCATAAGTTAACAAAACAAACATAGAAATTAAGCAAATTCTTAGGTGCCCATGATGAGTAATTGGCTACCGGTACCTTGAGTGTAAATTGGTTTAGAACTTAAATTTATTTTAAAATAAAATAATTGTAAAAAGTGACATGTCATTGAATAATAATATTTGATTGGATGAGGGTACTGGTAGCCAACTAAATTCAAGGATAGTAGAGTGTTCACCAATTAGATTTCGTGTTAAAAACTACCTTACTCAAAAGAAAAAACACACCAAATCAAAAACTAAACTAAAATTTGCCCTAAACACAAAGTACCATATCCAAAAATATAAAAATCTCTTATAAAAATAATTAAAGAAATCGAAAAATCCGATACAATATGCATAAACGAAATTTTCAATCAATAACCTAAAAAACAAAATCACCGTACCTTGTCATCAGCACTCTCTTTGGCTCTCTCCGCCTTAGCCTTCTCAGCCGCTTGCTTCTGTTTCTCCAACCTCTCCCTCTCCCATTTCTGCACACAAACATCAACGATTCAACCGTTTCAAACCCGAAATCGAAAAATTCACCGATCGAATTCAAAAATACAAAGAAAAGGGGAAAATGATCTACCTGGATGTAGACGTTTTCTTTGGCCTGTTCTTCCTCGCTGAGAACCTTACCTTTGTTGCTGAAGAAGCGAGTGAAAGCTCCACGAGATGTTGAGTCCATTGAACGAGTCGCGATTCCTCGACTCAGTGCCGATCTCATTGCCATTGAACAAAATGATCGATTCACAGACACAGCGAAAACGGTGGTTGTATTAATTCAACTGGATGAAGACAAAGCCAGACCCTAGAAGTTTCGCGATTTATAGTCGTAAAAACCGGGTCGGTTTTTTTGTCCAAAAATATAATATTGGACCGGTCACCGTATCAGGCTGAACACGGTCTAAGAGAATAAAGCTATTCAAATTTGATATTTTTTTAAGATTAAAAATAAATTACTGTCATCTAATATAAATATATAAACTTTAAAGTAATCGGAAATTACACGATAAGTCTTTTAATTAAATGTCTAATTTTATTATAATTGATAAAATTGATCTTTTAAATAATGTTTGATTTATAGTTATTTGACATTAAATGAGGTTGATATGGCACACTTGAAATTTTGTTGCATTTTATATTATTTTTATTCCACTAATATTTCACTAATGACATTATTTATCATCATGTTTTGATGATACTTTTATACTTGCAACTGAATATGAACAAGCAATGGAAATGTGTAGTTCTTGAAATGATAAACTCATAATTTACAATATAAAAAAGCATTTTCCAAGATGCAACTGTTCGATTTTCGGATGAACCATCATACTTTTCAAACCCTACATTTGTTCTTCATCCAAGAACTTTCATCAGATTTGAACAGGACCTGAAAACGCGATTCCAATCCCAACAATTTCTGGAAACGATTTTCTTCATAATTGTTTTTCTTAGCTACGAAACTAGAAGGAAATGTTGCGTCTAAAAGTGTTTTGTCCTTCCACCAATAAAATCGTTAAGATCCAACTGCATCTAACACATCCATGGATGCTAACTGTTGATGATTCAGATCGAGTATCTGTTTGGAACTGGGAGCACCGTCAGGTGAAATTTATATCCGATGGGTGTTATAATATGATTATTTTATTTTCTAATTTATTCGTAAGTAACTAAAAGTTTTTTATTTTGGTTTCATGGCTTATATTTTTCGGAGTTGCGATTTGTTGAGTTGAAGCTTGAGAGCGATACCGTCAAGAAGGGTTATGAAAAGGAGAAGAATAAGCCTTCTAATTATAACTTTAAGTTCTGATTTTCTCCGTAGTTGTATGACCTATCTCCCTCTTTTGTTTTCACCACTATGTTTTTTTAATCGGCTGCTTACTACGGTTAGCACGGTTTTTATGGATACTAAAAAGGGTTAGAAGGAATTTGTTGTTGGGCTTTCAACCGTCTCGCGATTCTACATCAAAAGTAGAAAGACACTACATTAGGATTGTGATTGATTTTGTTACTGTGTTAGCTGTGAATTTTGTTTGATAAATTTGAGCATGAGTTATTTGTTAATCGTGTGTGTATGTATGTATTTCGAATGGAATATTTTATGTATGAAACTGATTTTATTCTCATGCGTTTGCAGGTCGAATACGTATCGATGCGTATGAAACTGATGATGAAAAGGACATGCTCAGTAGGAGTTGTTATTCGTTGAAATTGAATATATGCAGAAGAGGGTTAGTATTTTTCTTTGCATTTAAAAAGTGATTATTCAAAAGTGATTATTTAAAAAATTACTTTTTTAATAACAAAAAAATTGTAGCAAAAAAACCCTATATCATAATGTGTATTGCCCTAAGTTCCAAAATATGAGCATCAACTCTCGCTTCTTAAGTTTAAGAAATTTCAGAAATTAATTTCAAATTTATTTTTCGTTTTTATTCGCCAATTAACCTCTTCAAGCTGTTTTTGGCTCGTCGGAATGTTGAAGACAGTTTGCGACATGGAAGACTATATTGATATTGGACCATGGGGATCGATGGATGATGAACATATTCATTTTCTAATGTGTTTTTTGGGTGTATTTCATTACAGATGGAAGAATATCAAGGTACTTATAAGGTTACTTAAGTGTTTTATTCAAATTGAAGGAAATTTAAAAGCAGAAGAGTTGATTTGCATTGTATTCTTTGACAAACTTAACATACTTAATTTAGTGGATAAACATTTCAAGCTTTATAATTCTATTTGTAATGCTTACCAGTGTTTTATCTTTTTTCATAGTTCAACAGGTAATCCACCATTTTGGAAAGATACTCAAACATGAGATATTGTTGCTTGTGTAAGGTATTGTTTTGTAAGAAAACAAACAGTGTCATAACAAAATCTTGAGATTTATTTTCAAAATTTCCTTACATTGAGTGTACTTTGAAGTGTAATTCAAGGCACAGAGGAAGTTCAAGTAGTCATCCACTGTAGTATCATACACAAGACCAAGATCAAGAGCAGCTACTGGATCCGCGTGCCCAGATCCATAGTCAAACAGCGCAGCAGGTCTCCCAGTAGCAATATCTTATATGGTTTGCCCATTTTTGTAGGTTCTGTAGGATGTAGTCATGAGGGCAGTGATTGAGATGATTTCAAAAATAGAAACCACCGTGTTTCTGCCGCACCATCAGCCTCCTTCTCTTTCGAAATTCACAGATTATTACCGGTAAGCGTACAAATCTCTTTTTGTTTAATCACAACTTATAATTTTACTTCAAAAATCAATGAACTTTAGTTGTTCAATGAAATGTATTTTGTGCATTGTAACAACGATACTTACGTTACAAAATGAACCATTTTTTCCGCTTTCTAAATAAAGAAACTATATGCAATATACGCAATCTCTTGGTTGGATCACAATGTTCGCGTCTCTAAAGATGTCAGTTTTGCATAGAAAACATTTCAACAAGCAAAACCTAAAACCTCTACCCATTTCAGAAAATAACTTCACTTTACACGCTAAAACCATGAAGAAAACGAACAAATGCCAAACTGATTAGCATCTCCAATGGTGTTTCAGGTTTGGTTTTTAACATTATTTTGACCAACCACTATATTCTAAATCAAATTTAAAAACTCTATAAACTTTTTACTCAATGTATATAAACTGACTACATGAAAATTTCCAAGTTTCTAATGGTAATGAATATGTTCATTGTTTGTTTCACATGTTTCATCATTCTAACGATGATGCATAGAGATCTAATTGCATAATATCAAGTTCAGATTCACCCGGGTGAAGGAATTGTTAAAGTGTTGAGAGAACATCAAATTGCAGCTCAAGAGGCAAATGTTTCAACCGCACAAGATAAGGTAATTCATTATTTCTCCATCAGAACTCAACGAGTGGAAGTAGTTGCTCTACAGTTGCAAGAAAAGCTTTTGTGAAAGCTCAGATATAGAAGTCTTGCATGCTGAAATTTTTAAATGAAAATTAGTACCATCCTGCAAATGAGTGCAGTATATGTATGCAGGAAGATTGCAATTCACAATTATGAGATATGACATCTAAATACAAATATGTTGAACAATGAGATCAGGTAATGAACTACATCGTCCAAAAAAAGTCTATTTTCCATCTTTTGTTATTGTGTTAGACTTTGTTAATTATTTCACTTTCAATATAACATTTTTCTCAATTTTATTCCAAATCTTAGTTGTTCATTTTAATCGATGGGTTTTTCAATTTCGGTATGAACGGATAAGAATGGACTATGAAGTCTATTGATATAGTAATGACTTTTTTTTCTAATAAATCTTTATTACATACATACAATTGGATATGTATTTATAGTGATATAAAATATATTTTACAAATTATTTTTAAATAATATTTTATTTTTTTACTAAAAATTAAATTTAAAACATAAATTAATTTCACATTTCTCTAATCATATCTTTTTAAATTTGGATAATTTAAAAAATAATGATATTAAAGAATTTTAATTATGAAAATAATATATTACTACACAATTTATACTTACAGAAAAACTAAATTTTATGTTTACTTTAAAACACTAAAAAATATCAAGACCAACCTTAAATAACAAATTTCTTATCTCTCAACGACATCGGCACAATATTCTTGATAACAATTTATGATTATAAGTATATTCAAAATCATATAAATTACAATTAATTTATGATTTATTCAAAAATAATAAAATAAATTTATTTTAAAATAAATATTCTAAAATGAGTAATAATTAACCTGAAATTAAATATATAAAGTGAACGATTTAAAGCGATAAAATTTTGTATCATTTTAAAAAAAAAAAATTTTAAAAATAAGTTTCTTATTAACAAATATTAAAAAATTATATTTTTCTAAGAAATATTAATAAGAATAATATTATTTACTTTATTTTATTAGCAAAATTGTGATTTGTTTAAAATTTAATTTAATTATTATTATAGTTTAAATAACATTTTGTTACTAAAAAATATTAAAAATTATGTATTTTTATGAAATATTAGTAAAAATCACATATTTAAAAAAAATATTAAACATAAGGACAAAATCACAATTATCCTTCTTACTACCTATTATAATTTTTTGATTCCAAGGTTAACTATTTAGTTTATCATTCTAAAAACATAAGAATAAAAAATATTTTTTTAATTATTTAGATTCTTATTTGAAATAAAATATATTTTAAAATTATTTAGATTTTTATAGAAAGGTTAATAAAATAAAACAAAATCAATTGAGATTTTATAATTTTTTTTAAACTTATGAAATAACTAAAACATATTTGAATCTATTCAAATTAACTTTATAATTGTAATCATGATAAAAAAAATGTTAAATGGTAGTCATGAAAATTTAATGATAAATGATAATCATAAAAAATTAATGATAAAAGGTAAAAATTTATTGATACAATTATTTTTATAAATTGAATACGTTACAATTGTTTTATAAACGGGAATAAGTTATAAATAATTTTATAAACATAACAAATTCAATTATTTATATAAATGAAAATAAGTTATATCTATTTTTATAAATTGGCACACGGATTCAAAGCACTTATAAACAAGAAAATTTCTACATGTTGATATATATAATTATCTGTAGAAATAAAAGTTAATTATAATAATTTTTATAAACAAAAATAAGTTACAAATATTTTTATAAATGAAAAAATCCAACTATTGATGCAATTGTTTTTAACATGAATAAGT